GGTTTACGTTGAACGATTCCAGTCTACGACGTCGTGGTTTCTCGTCTCGAGAATTGATAGCGTCCATTGAAGTGTCGGGACATCGAGAGCGTCTTGAAAAGAAAATAATCTTGATGAAACGTCTCGCTATAAAAAGAGAACGTCTCCGTTGTCGACGCCTCACGCTTTCGTTGAAATAAACCGGGACACGCCGAGACAAAGCTGCAAACTTTATTTTCATACTAAGCCTCGGAACCGTTATTGTCTTTGTTAATAACCTCACTTGAGTATCCATCTCCCTAGGAAAGTACGACATTCTCGCTAATGACTTTTCTTTTAATAAAATCAAATTATTTGCGAGAAAACATTTGTGTAATATGTTTTTGTTGGCAAACATTTGCTAACATGAGTGATTGGTTTATAAAATAAGATGAGGCTCAATTTTATTGCTTGTCACTCAAATATGTGTTTTAATGAAATATTGGTAATATACCAGCGTAAATAAGCGTTATTTTATCCAAATATTTACATATTATAATGGCCTCGCTTTGGGTTTTTACACATTTAATGTAGTTACAAAGATATTTCACAGGGGTCTTGCGAAATATGACGACGAAATTTAATATTTCTTTTGCTGGATTTATGAATGTAGGTAATGGTTCTTAGTATATTAAATTGCTTTTGCAAAATGAAATTAATGCACCAAATTGACGATAAGTTCAATTGTAAAATGGAAACAAGTTGCTGTATTCACAGTTTCATGTATTTCCTTATTATCGTGAAGTTGATAAAGATATAAATGCCATTACATTTGAGGAGTTTCGGAGACGAAGACGGTTGGGCAGGTACTCGTGATACGAGGCAGGAAGTCTTGCGAACTGTTCTCGTTAGTTCATACATAGGTACCTATTTGTTCCCGAGTCGCGATAAAGTTTAGCCGAAAAGTTTTGTGATATTCATCTTGAACTCGACAACGGATAAGTTCTGTTGGAACTTCATAGATCATGAGATACGTTTAGCGACTTTCGTATTGTTATTCTTGAATTACGACGTTTTGTGTCAACATTACAAACTTGTAATGAATAAGTTTTGGTAGCTGGCTGTATTTTATACGGATTTCATGTTAACTTTGTTGGAAAATATAGTTCTCTTAGGTACCTTCTTGTATCATTATGTGTTAGTTTCGATCCTTCTTTGAAATGTCTTTTGTTAGTGCGAATGCTAAGTTCGGAATATCCGGATTTATTGTAATCATTTAAAGTTTTCTGTATGATTGACACGCACGGTTATTATTTCATTCCCATTAAAATCGCATTATTAACTATTTAATTATCTTTAGCTCTTCGAAAACCATTAGGCACAATACCTACCAAGTCTCATGCTTTATATTTCAGAAACAAATAAACCATTGCTATAAAAATGACAAGACGTTACAATTACAAGATCCACTCATTCAAATAACAAGTCATAATAATAAGCACGCCAGACCACGCCAGACAGGAAAAAGTAATTGCTTGGCTTACAATTATACAATAAATGTCCAGAGGGCGCTTATAAAGGGACTTGATGACTCCGGGTCAAGTGGCTTGATTGTCAGGATTAAGTCCTGGGTGCGACTTGAGAGATATTGCCACACTGCTTCTTACGATTGTGATCGCGAATGTCAGTTTGCCTCTCATCTCGACATGATTGCCTGGTACCTCGTTAAATGTCAGCCTGTAAGTCGGATTAGAATCAGAGAAGAAAAACTTTATTTAGAAAGGTTACTGGACTGTCTAAAGTGTGACGTCACACCTGTGAGTAATAGAGGTACCTTTTAGTTACAATTTTTACAATCTCTGGTCTGGTCTGGTTAACAGTCTGCCACTTATCTTGTGCACTGATAGTTTTTGTTCTTTGAGAAATCTTTAGACAGCCCACTTCACAAAGTGTGAACATGTTTTTCGCCTTTGCTGAGTGTTTATCGCAACTTATCTGTAACTAACTTAGTTAAGTTATACCTAAGAAAAACATTTTTACTATTAATACTGAATTGGTGTTGTGTTGATTAAGAAATAACTCTGGCTATAAGCAGACGTACCTACATCGTATGTATGTATGTAGTACTGTCTTGGGAGTGTAGTCCAGTCTAGCCTGACCTTCTCGTAAGTGTTTAAAAATTCACTGTCTCTCCACCCGTCTGTCTCTAACAGATCGGCCGGCGATCGAAACTGACGCCGTCTTCATATATTGAAAACACTGTCTTAGTAATGTAGCCTTCAGGTTCTCATATATCTTTTGGGATCACGCTTGTTTTTATGTTCTTAGACAGGGTGAGCAAGATAGTGTCTACATATAACTTTCTCGTAGTTACATAAAGGAAGGCTTACCTAGTTTGTGGTGCCTCATAAAAGGTAAAGTATAAAAAAATCCTTAAAGCCTATTATAAAAAATAAGGTTCAATTGACGGCCAACACGGCCAATAAATCTTTAATTGTATCAACTTAAAGTTACGACAACCGTTTAAGTGAAACACATCACACACACAGAAGTAGAATACAAAACAGATAGGAATTTTGCGGTTAACAGTATTACGTATTTGTAGGTACATACCTAGGTTATGTTATGTGTATGCATCCTTTGTGGTTGACCTATTCGGCACTGGGCCAAGCACGTACACAATTTACTTAGCCGCGGTCCCACCTACCCCGTGATTTGAATACACTTTAAACTTTAAAATATGTCTACGTGTTCTGTTACAGAATTGCACTCGGTACTTTGTGAAAAAATACGAGTGCCTCAGTGTAAGTAGTGAGTGCGTGGCTTACATACCAATCGCTAAAGTGCAGGAGTTCGGGATTATTTCGAAAAGAAAATGTTAATGCTGATTGGTTTGTTGTTGGCTTTTCTAGTGTAGGACAGTTAAAATTTGTTCCTCTGGGAAAATGGATTTGTGGAAATAGATTTACAAAAATGTGTCTAACTATTGTAGGTAGGCAATGATAATGTGACGCGTAAGTGTGAAGTATTTTGGTAAGAGCGTTTCAAATTAAATAGCTAGTCATATATTTTCTGATATTTATGTGATTTATTTCCATCATGAAATACCGTCGTGCCGTAAGAAAATCGGTAAAGCCGCGAATAAAGTATTTTTTTAAAGACAAATATGGGCGCTAAACGACATTAGTTTTTATATTTTGATTTGGACTTCAAATTATACGTTCTTTTAAATTAAAGCAAATACCACAAAGGTGACCTTACGCTGAAAATTAATTGAATTGAATTCGGTATGAAACAAGAAACAAAATGTTATTCAGGTGATATCACGTTTAAAAAAAATGAAACAATAGTGTGTTTGAAATACGAAAGAAAAATATAAAATAAATGTCAAACTAAATCGAATACAAATAAAACATTCATCGGTATATTTGTAAAAGTCGGATCGAACTTTACTGTGATCCTTTTTTTCGAGACCGAAATCGGAGATTAGTAAAGTTATCCCTAAATCGAGTAACGCATACGGATTTGGAACTCATGATATAGAACTAAGTTCGATACAAGTTCGGAGGTGTTATAAATAACTAAATTGGTTCACTGTTATTTTCCTTCCCTAGAAATCTGACGTGAAAGTAAAAGTTGGTGAACTTTTAGTTTTCTCTTTGCCTTTAAATAATTTTATAGGAGATGGGAAAAGTTTGAGGGTGGTTGACACCCCTCAAACTGTTACATTAGGTACATAGATAATAACCTGTCACTTACCAGTCAATAAAGTTGTGCTGAGGATAAAATCTTACGATGGCAATGTGTACTCTACGCATTTAGGTAGTCATTGATTTGTCCTTTTTATGTTGGAAAGGAATCCTTCAAAAGGCTATCTACACAGATTTTGCTTCGCCAAAATAACGAAAAATTTTTAGATGATGCATTTAAATCAGTGACTTATTACGTCGTAGCTGGGTTTATTATGTAAACAATGTTAATTCAATAAGTATTTTGTAACTGTATATGTGCGTTATTTCAAAACAGAAATATTACGTCGCTTATTTAGATTGTGAGCTGTAACATGTTTAGTATTTTCCAGTCTGTTCATAAAACAAATACTTAAATACTGATCGTAACAAATTACAAAAACTGATGAATAATTTCATTTGATTAATCCGACTCACAATTGAAAGGCAGGAAAATATAGCACAGTCTTAATAATAATTATATTTTACAAATCAACCCCTATTGTGAATCATAATAAGATGCTTTGTATTGCGTCAATAGAGTCGCACTATCGCATTAGAGCAACTAAGGAAGGGTGGCAGTTACCGACCCGAGCCTTTATAATGAGGTACGACTAGAATTATGAAGTATAGAAATAAACATGTACCAAGTTCGTTGTTTAACTTATTAAAACTTTATAGTTTTGTAGCTTAACTTACTAAGTAGTTAGTAAGTAAAGTGTATGCTACTACTGAACGCGGGGAAGTAGCGACTACGATATTACACGTGACGTTCTGAAGTACACTTTGTTTTACTTAACTTTTGACTCGAAACTGCACCTTATTGTTTTAATGAAACTAAGATCTAATTTCGCGAACAGCTCACATGTGTATAAGGAGTTCGTAAACCGGTTTCGTAAATGAATAATTACCTGAAGTGATCAATTATGAGATCCCATCACGTAACCCACACATTTAGCTACGATATAAATGTATTATCCCTTACACAGCGTTTCAAATCAAAATTCATACAGAATCAACATCATTATTAATTTTTCGTATTCGTTTTATGAATATCAAATGGCAGTATGCCGAAAATTATTCCTGAATTAGCACAAGCAATGTTGAAGGGTTGAAATCATTTAATAAGGCAAATATTTTACTAAAGTCGGGCGATGCTGCGTTGGTTGAAGCATGGAGTTATGCTAACGAACTGCTATTATGTTTCACCCTCGTGTCACTGTGTGAAGGTTTTGCACTCTCGACCGAGTTACAGGGGTTGTTTTAGAAAATCATGTGTTGCTTTGGGGAAAAACTGGCAGTCGAAATACGCGCGGCGGCGGGATCAGACGCGTCGGGGATGCGGCCGGCGCTCGTTACGAACAATATTCCGATACCACCGCGCCAATCTCAAAGCCGATTATCTAGGTCGATGAACAATAACACAACGGCGACAAATTATAAAAGAAAAATATAAAAGTGACGTCATCGTGAACAAATTGTCGATAAAAACAGTGATCAGCCAAAGTTTATGGTCGTTTACAGAAAGCGTTAATGGATAGTAATGTTTTTCTGATATTTGGAATGACTAAAATAAGTAAGTATAAGTAATTAATTAGTATGTAGTTACGTCTGTCTCCATTTGGAAACGAAAAACTTTTTATGATTGACGAAAATGGAAAACTTTTCTGATGAGATTTCTTGTTGGCGAAATTGTTAATTAAACTTGACTGTTTTGTTTGGTTTGTTTCTATAGCAAGTTATTTATAAACAAATACAGGAGCATTCATTATGTTGGTACGTTTTAGTACATGAGACTTAAAGTATTTTTATTTGTAATTACGTGGCTCAATAGAAGTAATACACGCAATGGTTCAATGCGCTACCATTCTTCTTTCGTGGGTCTCATTGCTAAATTAGACCATTTCCATAGGTAATAAAATGTTAACACATTTTTATATTAAACTGTCAAATACCAAGCGGTCACCGGTGACCGCAACCTATTGTTCTTTAATTGTGTCTGCAAAACCGGTACTCGACGAGTTAAAGTGTATTTTCATAAGAGTACATTTTATCTACGATATGAAAAATATGTACGGTATAATTATTACACTTCATAATTGTATTGCACCAAATATCTCCGTTCGAGTCGGTTGGAATAGATCGGAATTAATAACTTTAAATAAATCAATAATAAAGTGTTTCAATAAAATATGAATTTAAGTCTTAAAGCACCGATTTGAAATTATCATAATCATTATACAAATTAGAAACAACCCCCTTTACAAATCAATAGTTGATTTACCTACCTAACTTTTGACTAAAAACAGTCAATGGAAAATGTATGTAGATAATGTGATAACAAGGTATAAAATACAATGTCCTGCGTATCTTGTTACTTAGGTTCCATGTATGGCAATCGTTAAACCGACATCAAACGTGTTACTGGCTCACGTGGCATTACCCTCACGAAGCTTCACTTTATTGGCTGTTAAAACCTTTTAACTAGTTAAAAATAACATAATATAACATCACGTCTTTTATCCCCGGAGGGGAAGGCAGAGGTGCACATTATGCCACTGTACGATGTAACACCCACTTTTCACTATTTATGTTATGAGTCCCATGTAAATGTAATGCCATATACCGGGCACAATTTACCCTATTGCCATATACCGGGCACAATTTCAGACTCCGTGTTGCTACTGAGAATTTTAAAAAATCCAGTAATAATTTGCCCAAGTCACACTTGCGACCACTCGGCCAACGAGGCAGTTAAAAATATGTATACTTGTATGTTTGTTCTAATAAGGCTATCAAAGTCTTTATTTTTATATTTTAATCTGAGTTTTATTACTGCGCTGCGGCTCTTCTTAGCCTATCTTGTTTTGTCGCGGAGAACCTAACGGGTTACCGGGGCTCCGGCTCGACGTGCAGGAGAAGGAACGGGGTGGTTTTTAGTCAGTAAGAGTTTAACACTCCCTCCCACCTCACCCAGGCGGGAGCGGTAATTCGATGATTACCCCCTTAAAAAAAGCCTATCTTGTTTCAGTTTTTCCAAAATTATCTTCCATAATAGGGTATTAAAAAAAGAGCAGCATTTTTAATCGCATATAATATATTTACATAAAACCAAAACAAACAAAATAATAAAGTTAAAATCGCTACTAATGAAAACTCCATGAAAAATAAAACGCCGAATTAAATATTTAAAACATTTTCGTCCCTCGCTTGATCTCATTTCCCGTTATCTCTCCCATTCTTTATTCTAATTAATAAATCTTAATATCTCTTGAATCTTGAACAAAAAATAAACAAGACAGTAAGTTATCCCTCGATATGATGCTTCTGTGCGCATTAACAAACACTGTCCGAGCCGAGATTCTGAAGCAATTAAACTGATTAAGCGCTCGGATTGCTTCGCCTGCCACAGTTGACAGGGAATTTTAACTTGAAAACTGTATCAGACGGAGTTGCGAGCCAAATTGCCACAACTATCTAGTCGGATGCCTCAATTAACAACCGCCGTGTATTTGCTAGATTTATCGGTTAATTTCTGCTCGGTTTGGAATTGGGGCTCGGAATCAAGTCTTTTGCGTTTTGTAATAGGTTATTTTATTAGAACACACGTTTTAAGTCCATCAGTGACGTGAAACAACACATGTTTTACACCTGTCATGGATTAGTGTTTACGATGGACTTGAAATTATTTCAATTTGAATGTATTTTCAAGTTAAACTTAATATTAATTAAATTCAAAGTTCATCTTAACCCTCTTCATTTTCGTATATAGTCCATTATGACAAGTGTGAATTCAGTTTTAAACTATCCTAATCTTGGGTTTTCAATCGTGGAAAACCAATTATTGTAATGGACAATACAAAATCAAAGTTAACGTATCAGAAATATCAAAGCGAACAGTATCAAGTCTATTTAAGTTAGTGAAACTACCGGCGGGTACTTTGATTGAACACATCGATAGGTGAAACATACGAGTCCAGTATTAAAGCTCACGGACAACTTTGACAACGAACGGACTCGGCTCGCAATTAGAGAGGACTCACCCTCCCAACATTTACATTTTAATTTAAATTTCAAACTGACGAGATTCAAGATAAATTGGGCTGCGTATTTAGCGCAATAATTCGAGCCCGACGCCGACTCGCGGTCTCCAAATTAAGGAGCAGGATAATTGTTTGTGTTATAATTAATAATTGACATTAATATTGTAAACTCGCTACGGCCCGGGTTTAAACGTTGGATTATAAACCCCGCCTGTGCTGCCGTTAAACTTATTTAGGTGCGTAATTGAATAAGCGTACACGGTGCCATCGAAACCGGCATGTTGCCAGAAATATTTTACTATAATTTTTCATTCATTTTTGTCAGTAAAATAAGTGCAGTTGGACACATGACTGAATCTTTCCCCACAAAGGATGACGCTATACAATAATTTCCACTTAGTGTACAAAGTGACCGTACATTTTTGTAGCTACACAGTCTGGTGAATAAATGAAAACGTACTTTAAAAATCCGTCAAAAAATGTTTGTTTGAATGGAAAAGCTATTTGCTGTAAACAAAGATTGCTGAAAATTCCAATTTGCGCGGGTATGTGTTAAAATGTACAAATAATTAAAATGAAATATGCTGTTATTGGTGAATTTATGATATATTGCACGTTCACCACACTGCGGTTGCATCGGATGTCAAAGGCGACCCTCGATGATCGACATTCAATTATAAACTACAAGGCTCGTGTTCAATAAAGTTTTGCGATAGATCCATTAAATCATTGTCACTGTTTGACGCTTAGAAAGTTTGCCACATAACATAATATGTTTTAAAGAACACAATTTATTTAATGTTTTCAAACAAAATGGCATCAAAATTAAATTAACACGACATAATGCACGAAAGTACACGTCTAGCCATAAAAACAAAACACGATAAAAATGGTCGCCATAATTCACTGATCAAAAAAGCATCACAAAATCACGAACAAACTCGGATTGCGCTTCGGCATCGACATTGATATACGAATGAAACATTCGATTCGTTAGTGGAAAAAGGAAAATAATGCAAAATGCGGAGGATTGGAGAGAATGGTTCTCATAGGCGGATAACAAAAGGAATGCAATGGGGATATCGTTTGATGGCCGTAGCGAGTCGTAGCGCGTAGCACCGGCTCCGAACACGCTCCAACTATTGTGTTTTGATTGCTTGCCAGAGGCCTTTTATTGATTAGGTCGTAGACCTTAACACAAGTATCATTCATTATGTTTGTAAACACTACTTTTAATTTAAACCCATTTTTACGTAAAATAAACACAATATATCAGTTGAGAGCTTCTACGAAGGTACAGATTTCATGAATTTAATTTCACTTACCTCTTGTGAAAATATTTAAATGTTAATTGCGGGAGCACCCTTTCATCTCGTTTATCCAAACTTTGTAAGGGGATTTGTTTACAATGTCCTTAATGATGCTCAGTGTGGCGATAAAAGCTTTGTAATGATCGTTTAATTCATAATTTTTATTATCTATTTCATACTGATTGTAGCTCATATTTCCTGATGAAATCTAATAATAAAAGCGTATATTTCTTGTGGTTGTAAAGGACGGAAGCGAGCTCAATAAATTATAATGTGTCGCATTTTGAACGCGTAATAAAATATAGCTTCCATTATCAGAATGCTTCTGTTATTTTTTCATCCGTTCGCTTTTATCTTATTTGCATTTCAACACGTAGACGTGAATTAACGTTCATAACTTATTATTGCTACGTAATGTTTGCTCTCGAACTGTTCATTGAGCGAAAATACATAATGTATTTGTTTCAAAACTCAACCAATGTATGAGGGCAGACATGCGTAAACTCATAATAATAACTTAGTAGGTACTCGTATGTATAAGTAAGTAGCACCCCCTTATTTTAATAGATACGTCGTTGGAAAATGTAACTAGGTATTTTAGTAATTTCAGTTTTGAAATATTTGAACATAATTTTCATATTTAAAATGGTAAATATGTTTTCTTGTTAACGATGATAGAGTGGTAATATTTGACAGCCTGTGATTACTTGATGTTTTGTACTGCAGAAAATATTATAGGTGGATTCATTAATAAATATACTTATCAAAAGTTCTATGCTGGGAACATGTAATGGGAAGATTGTAAAATTAGCCACCAGGAGCTCCCCTTCGGTAATTTTTGCTAGGTCCTCAAATACTGACATTAATATACAATTATTGGTAGGAACATAAAACGTTTGAGCGCGGCGCGTGCCCGCATAGATTCCGGTTCGTTTTGATCCCTTCTTGAATATTAAGTTTGCCCATTACGCCACTCGGTAATTCGAAAGCGTTTAGAGCGCTCCCCACAACGAATTTATTACTTAATATCACTTTGACCCGACGCCCTAGCACTGATTATGAATCTACTGAAAGTAGTAAATATGTACAGGATTATATTGGAACTCTGAAATTAAAGTTTGATTAAATTTATGTTAAAACGGAATTTTATATCGTCAATGTAAAAGGGGACGGTTCCTACGAAGTGAATGAAGTACAGTAATTATCAAGTTTTGATCTGAAAA